CCAACTTCAATTCCAGCCTCCTTCTCCTTCAGTGACTGATTTTGTATGCCAATCAAAACATTATCGGGGCATAATTCTTTCTTGTGGCCAACTCTACCACACTGGTAACAGAGCAATTCCATCTTCTCGTACTCAACCCGTTGAAAGAACCGACCAGCAGATCCATCAACCCACACACCATTCATCAACTTCTTCTCCAGATTAATCCTAACACAAACACGGACAAATTCCCTTTTGCTCCAGCCGAATGTATTTCCATCAACATAAATTGGTGTTCCCAAACACGATGCAATTCTGGCAATTTGGTCTTCGTCCCAGCAATACAACGGAAGACAAGGAAATCTAACCCATACAGGAGCAGAAATTCCTTTCAGTGAGTTCGGATCAAAAGCAGCAGTCCACCTATCCATACCAACAATGAATCCATTGATGTACCAGGGTCCTCCATTCAATACTTCATCAACCGCTTCACTTGATTAAAATGAGCACAAAATCCAGTCCATACCAATTGAGGTTAAATGAAAGCTTCAAAACTTACCCCACTGCTTTCTTAATTCGGTACTACACACCGAGAAAGGCACATTATTTCCCAAAACTTTGATCGCTACAGAATTTTTCAAAACCTGCGAATTCTTTAATTCCATATCAGAATTTAACTTCACAGCAATTCCATCTTCTGATCGTTCAACCATGTTCTTATTGAAAGAAAGTTTAATTGGCTTGGGCTTCGACCATGCTTCAGACACCTCATTGGTCTTGTTTTTTAGATTTTCCACCACGTCACATCCTTCTTCTACTTGCACATTCTCTTTCAGACCTTCAACCGATATCAATTCATCACCAATTTTGCGACCCTTAAGCGTATCAAGAACACCAGAAAAGTTATTCACTCAAAGAATCAGATTGTCCGATGCAGACGATTCAGTAATAGCAGCTCCTGGATTCATGTTTCCAACGAAATAATCCTTTCCAACATCATTTTTAATCAAAATGCTTTTACCCTTTCCTTCAACAGATGTTGTCCTGCGATTATGTATCGCGCCTTCTTTAATCACTATTCCATTCAAATTCCTACCATTTGAACGTAGAGTTTCCATAGATCTCATATCGATCTAAGCAAAGAACGTCGGCGATCATCAGCCGCCGCGCTTTTCCGATCGCGGAAAGCCCGCGTGATTCGAAAATTCGAAAATTTGAAAAAACCCAAAAAATGAACAATAGCAACACTTCAACATACACTTAACTTAAAAGAAAAGACAAACATAAAAACAAAACAATTAACATAAACACTGACACAACAAAATATGAAACAGACACTAGTACAAGAAAGACACAGAAATTCATCTCTACTGTTCTGGAGGAG